CCCCCCTGTAAATCATCTAGTGGCATTCCAAATTGCTTGGATTTCTAAAAAAAAAAAATTTTCAGTGAGGACCTACCTTTTCCAACGCTGTTTTAAATTAAAACATTTGAAAATTAGTTTACAGAACTTTAACTATTAAGCGATATTTCAGTTTATACATTAACAAGAATTATTCACAAGTATTATATGTACCCGTTGTTTTTCTTATAAATTTGGAAAAAATTCTTTCTTTAAATACGAAGACAATTTTTCTTTATATATATCCTACACCTTAATAATCAATATATATTTTTTAACCCAACACAAAATTGCATTTTCAGTTTATTTTTTTTTTTAAACAGACAAAAACATAGCAGACAGATATTATACAACATCTGCTCCAGTTTTTTGGCAAAAGAATTTGCAAAATGGTAAAAACCAGTGGCATATATTTGTCAAAAAGACGCCTGCATTGTTTACAATTATTTCATTTTCTTATTATTTTGTACTTTTTGTTTCCGTACAAAATTTTAAAAATTTTTTTTTTGATTGAAATCAATTTAACATTTTAGACCGCCTTTTTCCTTCTTTTATTTAGAATAACGTTACATACAGCATTCAGATTGATTACATGAAGCCTTGTCAAATATTATTTTATTTTACGAATAGGCAATTTCACTTTTTCTTCGTTTTTTTTATAATGATTTTTTCTGAAAAATGAGTTCAGATTTCAATTTTAAATCCCCATAAAGGGATTTTTAAATGCACAACCTTTTTTTCTTTAATAAATAAGAACTTTAAAAAAAAAAAAACAACTTGAAAAAATTTTCAATCATTAATTATATTCAGTTTATTAAAATATTTAAAGTAATTGTTTCTCTGAGTTTTTATGGCAAATGTTTTTTTGAAACCTTTCAAAGTTTTTTTTTAAATAAAAAAAAATCTACTGAACTTATATGCATTCATTTTTCTTTTTTTTTCCTCAAAGATAAATCTTTTTCACGAAAAAAAAAATTTTTGAAAATTCTTTTTTTTAACGAAACATTTTTCCAAAACAAATTTTCTATTTCTGAAATTCAAAAAAAAAAAGAATTTTATATCGTATATACTTTTTTATTCATTTTTTAATATATATTTTTATAAAATTTATTTTTTTTTCTTTTTTTTTTATATTTCTCGTTTATAATCCAACACCAGATTCTGATCTTTTACCAGATTTTTTTGTATAATTTCAAATAAATGAATATTTTTTCATATGCTTTTTTTTTTTTTTCTTAATTTTGATTTTTTTTTATTAATCTTTTTTTCAAATCTTCTTTTGTGGCTTAAGAATTGACGGTGGTTTTTAAATTTTGCTTCAATTCTTTTTTCTTGAACCATTTTTTTTCCTTTTAAAACATTTGCTATTTTTCTTTTTGTTCGATTTGAACTGCATGTCCAATTCGTTTTTTTCTTTTTTCTTTTTTTTTTTTTTTTTTCTTTCTTTTCATTCGTCTTCACCTCCGTCAATACCCATTGTTGCTTTTTTTTTTATTTTTTTTTTTCAAAGGTATCTTTCTGTCTTAAATAGTTCTAAAGCTACTCTAATTTTAATTATTATTATTTTAAGTAGAAATATTAAGGTCATAGTAAATAGTATTTTTGTAAATATTTCTCTTTTTTTTTTTTCTGTCAACTCAAAAAAAAATATATACTGTATATACTCGTGTATAAGGCGACTTCATATGTAGCACGACTCCTGAATTATTTTGTGAAAAACCTGATTTTTTCATACATTTCGTATATAATTCAACACCAGATTCTGATCATGTACCGTAATTCTTTGTGTATAATTTATAAATGAATATTGGAATATGCTTTTATAATGTTCCTTAATTTTGTTGATTCCTATTGGTAATATTAGTACATATTTGTGTCTTATGAATTGACGGTGAAAATAAAGCTACTAGACTCATGGAACTGAGTATAAACGACAATAAAACAGAATACATGGTCATCAGAAAGAGGACGAGCCCTAAATAAGATTTGCAAGTCAGGAACAGTAGAATCATCAGACGCGGAAGTTTAAATATCTGGGAAGCGTTCCAACAGAGGACAGTAAATGCGACACTGAGATCCGTAGAAGTACTGGAATGGCCAAGGACACATTCCAAAAGCTGGGCAGAGTATTGCAAGACAGGAGGATTTCTTTGGTAACAAAGAAAAGAATACTGAGCTGTTACGTGACATCTGTCCTTCTTTACGGCAGCGAATGTTGGACGATTTCCTCAAAGATGAAGAAGAGACTCGAGGCGACGGAGATGTGGTTCTACAGAAGGATGCTAAGGATATCATGGACCGAGCGTGTGAGCAACGATGAAGTCTTAGAGAGGATGCAAACAAGGAGGAGGCTTATACTTAACATCAGGAAGAGGCAGCTGAAGTTTCTGGGACACATAATGAGGAAAGAGGGCCTGGAGAATCTGATACTCACAGGTCGAATAGAGGGAAAGAGAGATAAGGGAAAACAACACGTGACATATACCAAGCGGACTTAAGCAAGTGGATGATAGAATTTGGTCTGGGGGAGTAAGCAGATGGAAGGAACTTGTTGAGAGCTGCAAGGGATAGAGGGAGGTGGAGAGCCATAATTGCTTACGTCCTGAAAGGACACGGCACATAGAAAGAAAAAACGGAGAATTATAAAATAATTTTGTCAATGTAAAGAATATATAATCCTACATAAAATTAATATAAATTTACAAAGGAATTTAGAATATCAAAACAAAATGAAAAATACTATATATATATATATATATATATATATGAAAAATAAAATATATAAAAAAAAAAAAAATCTGGATATGAATTATTCCTGAAGATGGTCTATTAGTCCGAAACGTCCTGACGTTGACATTAAACATTAAAACAGCATAATCGCATAAAAGGATTTTTTTTGTTTTCAGTATATTTTTTTTCATACTGTCGGATCTATATCCATATATTTGTTTTTACACACACACACACACACATATATATATATATATATATATATATATATATATATATATATATATATATATATATATATATATGTATTATCTGAAAAAATTTTTACGTTGGAAAATCAATTTTAAAAAATATAAACATTTTAGAATCCTCAGTTAGACATAAATTGGGGAAAGGAAAAAAAAAAAAAAATTTTCATTTATATAATTTTTGTATTTTTGTATAAATGCATAAAAAAAAAAATTAAATGGGTGGATAGTGCAACAAATTATTTAATCATGATTGAAAATGCATGATTTTAACCTTTTCAAAAAATTACCTTATATAGTAAAATTAAATGAATTTTTTTTGTGTTCAAAATGATCATAAAATCCGCACTATATTTTAATATATATATATATATCAATTTATTATATATCATAAAAAAAAGATTTTTAAATTTGATTTATAATTTTTAAAAAGAGGTCTTGGTGAATTTGACACTCAAAGGACATGCTGAGAGCAAGGAGAACAGAGGAAACTAGCAAATAACATCTGAAAAAATATTAAGTATTTATAAATATGGCTGGCAGAAAGCTAAAACCAAAATTTAATATAAATTATTAGAGGTACAAGGTAATTGTTAAATAGTTTTGATCTGTTACATCCTGAAGAGGAGCAGTACATAAAAAAATAAGTTACGTATGGTAGTTAGATTTTTTATATTTAAAAAATTTTTTAAAATAATCTTGTAACCTTTTTAGTGTTTAAAAAATTAAAAGCACGTTCTTAAACTATTGAGAAAATCAGGTTTTTTTTTAAGACAGCCAGGAGGCGCCCAACCCTCTCCAGGCTAGTTTGAATTCAGAGTTTTCCTTCTCCTCAACTGGTTGCCAACGAAAAAATCTATGGCCTTTATATAAAAATGAAATTTTTTCCCATAGTTGTGGTTTGGAGGCGGTAGACATTTTAATCAAATTTTCAAATGGTTATTAAATTTAATTGTGCATTATATTATTTTAACAATCATCTTTGAAAAAAAATTGATTTAAAAGAAAAGATCACCGAAATTAAAAACGTCTAGCCCGGTAAAAAATTTGATGGGTGACAAAAATAAATCAAATGCTGTAAGCTTTATTGCATATTTGTAAAGAAAATTTTTTTTGTTCCTCTTTTTCGAAGCTTAGTTCCAATTCTAAATTCATTTGATTATATTTAGTTTTTACGAATAAAAAATACCAATTTGAAAGATATAAATTTTCTTCTTTTCCCACCCATGGGTTTCATTAATAAATGATTATATCACCAAAATATTATTATCCCCCTATAAATTATTACGATCTAAAAATAGGTTGAAATAAATAGAAAATATTAATAAGTTGTAGAAAACGATCAATCCACAAACGTAAGTGAATGTAATGGAATCGAGGATTGAAAAATTTAAATTAAAATTTCTCAAACCAAGTCAAGCTTTTAATTGCTTGGGGTACATCCGTAAGATTTTCACAGTGTGGTAAATAAATTTTTTTTTTTTCCCCACATTCCAATAGAAAAATTCTACAAAAAAAAAAAAGGAAGAGTTATTTGAATAGATACTGCCAATTTTTAGTTTATTTCATTTTCATTTTGTATTTCTTTACTGCGATGCAAAATTTAATGCTGTAATCTTATTGGTCCTGTCTACTTCTTTCTCATAATTCACCGTCATATTTTTCTGATTCAATCCTATCAATTCTTTTTTTTTTTTTTATAAATATTTATTGGGGAAATATATTTATTGCTATTGCGTTTGTCATCCTTGTTGAGTTATTGTCGTGTTAGTTTTTTTAATTTTTTTTTTGAAATAAATAAATTAACACACACACATTTTTAACCCCCATATATATATTATATATATATATATATATATATATATATATATCAAAAAAAAAAAAAAAAAGAAAATTTTACATGCAAGGATACGTCCGTCGAAGATAACAAAGAAATTTCCTTTATTACTGGAAGAGTATTAATAGGTATTGAATATTACATTGATAAAACATAAAGGGGACATTTCAATGATATGCAAACAGAAAAAAAAAGAAAGAAAGAAAAGAAAGAAAAAAAAAAAAAAAGAAAAATTCATGATGTAAGAAAAGATATAGAAACCACTTAATTAAAAGGAGAAAAAAAAGAGGAAGAAACGTTAAAAGCACAAAGAAATAAACAAAAGAAAGAAAGAAAGTTTAAAGTAAAAAGATGAACGACGTAACTATAAGAAAAAAAAGAAAGAACCGTTGAATTCAAAATTAAGTAGATAGACGAAAGAAAGAAAGAAAGAAAGAAAGAAAGAAAGAAAAATTTTTAAAAAAAAAAAAAAATAAAATTTTTAGAAAAAAGAAAAAAAAAAAAAAGTCAAAAAAAAAAAATTTTTAAAATGAATATTATTTCAAGAAAAAAAATGGAAATGAAAAAAGACATGCACACCAACAACAGATAAAATAAATAAATTTAAAATATAATAAAAAAATTGTAAAAATTAAAAGGGAAAATTGATATAAAAAAAGAATTAAGGACTTATTTTGAAAGAAAGAAAATTAAAAATAAAGAGAGAACAAAAAAAAAATTTATCTTTTCTAAATTTTTTAAAAAAAAAAAAGAACCACCATGAAATGCAAATTTTTGTCGTCCAAAGAAAGAAAGAAAGAAAGAACAAAAGAAAAAAAAAAAAAAAAAAATTTTAAAGTTGAAGAAAAAAAAAAAATCTCAAAAATTCAACTAAAGAAATTGAAAAAGAAAAGAAAGAAATTCAGAAAAAAAAAAAAAAATTACAAGAAAGAAAAATTAAAAAAAAAAAAAAAAAGAAAGAAAAAAAAAAAGAAAAAAACTAAAATTAGAAAGAAAATAAAAAAAAGAAAATGAAAGAAAAAAAAAAGAAAGAAAAAAAGAAAAAAAAAAAAAAAAAAAAGAACTAAAGAAAGAATGTAAAAAATAATAAGTAAAAAAAAAGTAAATAAAAAAGTCACTCGATCAACAACAGATAAAGAAATAAATGTAAAATGAAGAAAAATGATAAGAATTAAAAGGGAAAATCGATAAAAAGGAAATAAAAGTTTATTTTAAAAGAAAGAAAGAATTAAAAAATGGTAATAAGAAAAGAAAAGTTCACAGAAAAATAAAAAAAATCGACCAACAATAAATAAATAAATGGGAAACGAATAAAAGATGGAGAATTAAACGAAGAAATCGACAAAAAGAAAAGTTCAATCTGAAAGAAAGAAAGAAAGAAAGAAAGTGAGAAAGAAAGAAAGAAAGAAAGAATTGATTTAAAAAGTAAGAAGACGCTAACAAAAAACAACTTTGAATGAAAAATGAAAATCGACTGTCAATTATTAAATAAATTTGGATGTAAAATATCAAAACCGAAAGAAAAAATCAAGCAAAAGAAAATAATTTTCAATAAAAAAAAGAAAGAAAGAAAAGAGAATGAAGGAAAGAAAAAAAGAAAGAAAGAAAGAGAGGATTTAAAAATGATAAATAAGCAATGAAAAATGCAATGAAAACTAAAAAATCATCCAGTAATTAATAAATAAATAAATGTAAAGCAAAGTAAAGAGAACAGAATTAAAAGAAGAAATCGAAAGAAAGAAAGAAAGAAAGAAAGAAAGAAAGAAAGGAAAGAAAAAAGAAGAAAGAACTAAAGAAAGAAAAAAAGAAAGAGTAGATGTAAAAATAAGAAACAAAAAATAGAAAGAAAAGTTAAGATATATGAAAGGAAGGAAGGAAGGAAGGAAGGAAGGAAGGAAGGAAGGAAAAAAGTTTAAGAGAAAGGAAGAACAGTTCTGAATTTTGAAAAAAAAAAAAGAAAGAAAAAAGAAAGAAAAAAAAAAAAGAAAGAAAAATCTTTGATTGTTTAAATAAAAATGAGGATTGGACATAAAAAAATTGCAGTAATGAAGGAAAGAAAAGTTGAAAAAGAAAATAAACTGAAATCAATAAAAATGAACTATAAATAGTTAAAATCTAAAAGAACGATGAAAACAGTAAAAAAAGCTCTAATTACCAATGGAAAAAAGCATTTCTATTTGATACTAAGAGAAAGGGTCAAACATTTCTATTTGATACTAAGGGAAAGTGTCAAACATTTCTATTTGATACCAAGGGAAAGGGTCAATAGAACAACCAAAATAGCCAATCAGTAAAAGAATGTAGAGAAAAAAGAAGGCCAAGAATAAAATATGAAAAAGGAAAGAGAAAGAAGATAATATAAAGAAGAAAGAAATAAAAGAGAAAATTAGAGGAGAGAGAAGAAAATATCAGGAAAGAGAAAAGGAAAAATCGAAATTAGGAAGGATAAGAGAAAGAAAAATATATGGAAAAAACAAGAAAGAAAAAAGAAAGAAAAGGAGAAGGAAGATTATAGAGGAAAAAGGAGTAAAAGTATAATAGAAGAAAGAAAAGGTAGAAGAAAATATAATGAAAAAAGAAGGCGAAAAGAAAGAACTATAAAGAAGGAAGAAGAGGAAGCCAAACTATAAAGAAGAAGAGGCAAAATATAAAAAAGAAAGAAAAGAAAGAAGGAAATATAAAGAAGAAAGAAGAGAAAGAATGAAATATAGAGGAGAAAGCAGATGTGAAACAAGGAAGTATAACGATAAAAGTAGAGGAAGAAGAATATGTAAGGAAGGAAAAAAATGAAGAGGATGAAAGAACTTTAAGAGAGAAAGAAGAAAAGAAAGAAGGAAATATAAAAAAAGAAAGAATGAAATATAAAGAAAAAGAAAAGAAGAAAGTATATGAGAGGAAAAAGAAAAGAAAGAATGTGATGTAATGAATATGCATACACCTGGGTTCCCTCTCCCAGTAATATGATTGGCTGATGTCAGCCATAAATACAGACTGATGTGGAGGTACAGGACGACGCCTATTGCCTACGCCTATTGCCTACCACTACGACGAGGACCAGTCCATTACGGTTACCTGCAAAATTGTTCTACCCGGTTACAGTAGACCAAAACCACTTTGCTACTTCGAATAAATATCTCCCTTTCCGGGACATATCAGAATGAAATATGAAGAAAAAAAAGAAGAGGAAAAAGAAGAAAACAGAAAAAAGAAATGGATAATCAATCTAAACTGAAATAGATTTGAATTTTTTCCCAGTGCCATATGTCAATATTAATTTAAGAAAATTCTAATATTTTTTGGACGCGCACCGTACTTAGGTTAGCTTAGTAAATACGTCAAAGCTCTTAAAAAGGTTATCATATTTCTTAATGGGGTGGTGTTGAAGTACTGGTAAAGTCAGTGGGTACTTATGATAAACGACAAAATTTGTCTACGCTAAATCGTCTCAAATACAGTTGGCGTAAAAAGTACCTCTATAGCTTGGTATTTCAGTCCAAGTTTAAAAAAAAAAACGAATTCGATTATTTGACACTCGCACATCTGACCCACGGACATTTAGCCGAAAATGTAGTGGCCTACTTACATGTATGCCACACTCTTTATCGTAATGTGCTAGATATATTTATATTTATTTACTGGATTAATTTATATTTTTTTACAGGCTTTTTAAAAATCTTTTCTTTATATATTATATTTTACTTCAAATATTACTGTAAGATGATAAGTATTTTGAGAAAGAAAAAACAAATTTTAGTCCAGCTTAAACTTTTACGATATGAAAGATCTTTCAATTTCTCCTTTAATGATCATTATCTTAAAGGAATGAACTAGCTTTTATCTTACTGTTAAATACGAATTTAAATAATTAGCTGCTACTATTTACCCACATACACTCAAATATGTTTTAAAATACTAATTTCGATAAACAAATATTTAAATAAGAAAACTTTAAATTTAGATTTAGTAATTTAATCACTCGAAATTATTAGTCCTATTCTACCTTATCATACTGCTAATTAAAATACTTAAAGAATTGGTTGTTACTATTTTTTACTTATACTTTTTCGGTGAAATGTCTGTCGGCCAAATAACTCTCGGCCAAATGTCTCGGCCAAATGACTCGGCCACGGGATTATTCCTATCTGAATTTCTAGGGTTAAGACTTATCGTGATTTACATTCAGACCATTGACCATATCTTTGTTGTTATTCTCACAACATTTCGGCCGCTGTGCCTCCCGTCCTTCATCAGCTGTTTGTTGGTCAGGGAATTTCGAAATGAACCCTTATTTAATCTCGTTCGGTTAATCATGTCTAGAGATATCCCATCTACATTTTAGTACTTCTCAGTTATTGCTCGCCTTTGTTTCAACTGAGTTCAGAAACGCACTGCCCAGCTCAGGGATTGAACTTAAATCTCCTATGTCACGAAATTCAGTAATCACTGCTTTAATCCATTAAGCTGTTATCCCGATTTAACCGTCACTTCCATGACGTATTTCGTCCTTAGTTTGGCCTGAGAAAGTGCTATGTTGAAAACAATGTAGATTAAATTTAAATTTAAATACGAAGAAAAAAAAAGAGAAATAAAAGAGATGCTTGTCTATATTTCCGAGATGAGGTATTATGCACACTATTTACATTGTTCGGATATTGTCCTCATCTTTGTCGCCATTTTTATTACAACGTTTCGGCCGTTGTACGATTCGGCCTTCTTCAGCACTTCGAGTCTGCAGAGAAGTGGCATGAGCATTCACCATTGTCAGTATTTGAGAATGGACAGGTAAGGCTAATGTAGGATACGACCAACTTGACTAACAAGCGACTGGAGAGAAATCGCCCTGACGTCACACCTGAGCAGAAGAGCCGCCATGAATGGATCCTGGTAGACGATACTTTGGGATGAGAACATTTGTGAAGGCGAAACGGGCGAAAATACAGAGTTACGAAGACTTGGCAGGGAAAATAAAGAGTTACCAAAACCTGGCCGGAAAAATGCAGAGATACCAGGACACGTCAGGGACAATACAGGGGAAACAAGATATGACTGAGCAAATACAGAGGTACCAAGGCATGAAAACCCAATTTACTCTGATATTTAACACATTACTGCAGAAATATGGATTCAAGCAATTTTAGTGCAATAGCGTGAAGTGAAGAAAATCAACCGGAAATTCAACTCGGACAGAGTTCACTTTCAGTGTCTATAGGCGTTGCCTTATTCACCCGTCTAATTTATTTATATCTAAATTTTAGATGGCACTTGGGATAAAAGCTCATTAGAATAGATCCAAAGCATTCTCACTGCTTGGCGGAATCGCTCCTTGATTGACCATGAATTCAGGAGTATTTTCTTACTCACCACGCTTGATGAAGCTATTTACGCCATAGTAGGAGGTTTTCAATTCATCGTTGTTCTTCTCCTAAGACCCAAGTTTATAGGACATATTCTGTCCTGCTGAAACAATCAAGATGTTGAGCTTAACAACCTTTATATATATATATATATATATATATATATATATATATATATATATATATATATATATATATATATATATATGCAGATATGTAGAAAAATAGGAAAGAACACGTTACGTAAATAATCCGGAGTTCTTTAGCATTTTTGTTTTTTTTCATTTTTAAAAAGAGTGTTCCATACAGAAGTAGAGCTTAAATTATAACTATTTTTAAAAAAAAATACGATTCTTCGTTACATAAGTAAAATTCATATTTTAAAAACGAGAGTTAATATAATTATTAAAATTAAATTGAATTAAATTATCAAGCCTTTTCATCCTCAAGCGTTCCTAAATTTTCGCTTGAGGATGAAACAGGTCTTGGTATTTTAATTCAATTTAATTTTAATAATTATATTGAGTGTTTCTGCTCTCTGTTTTTGAAACGAGAACTCTTATGTTGCGGAAGAATCATATTTTTAAAAAATAATTATATATATATATATATATATATATATACTTATTGTTTTGTTGTTTACATTCATTGTTTGCTTCTGTCTTCTGCGGGTGCCATTTTTTCTGTCCTGCTATTTACCCATATTGGGAGAAGTGATGGGTTCATGCCTTTCCCAGAGGTATTTGCGTTTAAGTGACTATAGTGAACCAGAATCGGCTTTCCGATCCCTCAGCCCGACCCGCTTACTATTATTACTCCATTGATCCTCCATAGATTTTAGATAAATATCCGTAGACTACTTTTCGTTTGTATAATAATGGGTGGAGTGCTATATATCCGCCTGTTTTAAATTAAGTAACCACCGAAGCCCGAAAGATGATGTATATAAACAACCATGTTTTATATTTAAGCTCCTTTTTTGTTCTTTTTTTTTCTTTTTTTGAAATGTCTACAGTTCAAAGGGTAGCATATCAAAATGCTTATTTTCTATCCTACCTAAAGAATGGCGCAAAGTAATCTTCCCTGTCGAATTTTTAGTCACACCAGGCAACGGAAGGATCTGATCCCTATAAACGCCCTCGAAATTTAGTCTGGTGTCGGACAACTCGAAACACATAAATAACACTAACAATGAGACTTCAGAAAAAAATTTTTTTTAAAAAAAGTGGCGCCTACAGAAGACAGTAAGAAAACAATGAATGTAAACAGCAAAACATAATAAATAAGTATATATATATATATATATATATATATCCTGAAGATTGATAAGGTGGGGATGACATACGTGGACATTGATTTGTGGGCGGTTCTTTTGTTTAATTGTTGTGTCCAATATTACAAACAATAAAGTCAAGCTAAGCTTATGGCAGCCACCAGGTGGCGTAACGCTGTTATATAATAAGTAGAGATAGATTAGAATAGTTACAAGGTTAAGCCGCCATGATTTTGATGTTATTCACTTTGAGGAATCGATGCTAAAAATTACAAATGAGAATGATATATAAATCGTATAATAGCTTATATGGTTTCAGTAATGCATTAATTCGTGATCGAATGCAAGTCTTTTCTACCAGATTGTCATTAAAATTCCATATCGAAAATATACTGAGTTTTGTAAGCAGCTCTTTCCACACAGGAAAACTCCATATCAAAAATATACCAAATTAAATCTTCATATCAAAAATATACCGTGATCTGTAAACATCCATTTCCACAAAGGAAACAATATTTATTCATTGACCGAAGTTAAAGTTACTATAGGGTTTTTTTTTCCTTAAAAACAGTTTTTCTGGAAATTCGACTTCACAAGTCTATTTCCTACCATCGCTCTTTCTATTACTGATGGGAGTTTCCTTTCAAACCTTTTGATTTTGTTTGTGTGGAATGTCAACACCTTGATTATTTCAGCAGGTTTCCTTCTTGTTACATATGTTACGCATTATTGTCGTTGATGCTGGAAGCATTCACACAAAGAGTTTTTTTTTCTCTTTATTTAAAATGATGCTCACTCTGTACAAGGCCCAGTAGATAGAGAGTTACAGAGTAAGGGAAACAGTTGAAATGTTGATATGTGGAGAAGATAACCCCAGGTTAAAAGTGCAGTGAGGGGTGGATTGATCGGGGATCCTCTTGGGAGTCGGTTCCACAGAGCAGAGTTTCGTGGTAAAACGCTGCTCGAGTGAAGGGAATGTGGGTGGTTCGCAACAGGATGCGAGACATAGCGGGTCTTAGCCGTGGAGGGTAGAATTGTTGGAACCAAGGAATGTAGTTCATCCGAACACTTTCCATGAAAGTAGGGATAGAGCAGTGAAAGATTTGCAACGTTTCGGAGATAGATAGATAGATAGATAATGATTTAACATAGATAGATAGATAGATAGATAGATAGATAATGATTTAACATAGATAGATAGATAGATAGATAATGATTTAACATAGATAGACAGATATATATGAAAGAACTTAGATATGAATTAACATAGCTATGAATGATATTGATAGATAAATAGATACATAGATATATATATATATAAATTAGCATCGATCGATAGATAGATATGAATGAACATAGATATGAATTAGCATAGATAGATACGCATGAACATAGATAGATAATGATTTAACATAGATAGATAGATAGATAGATAGATAGATAGATAGATAGATAGATAATGATTTAACATAGATAGATAGATAGATAGATAGATAGATAGATAGGTAGATAGATATGAAAGAACTTAGATATGAATTAACATAGCTATGAATGATATTGATAGATAAATAGAGACATAGATATAAATTAGCATCAATCGATAGATAGATATGAATGAACATAGATATAAATTAGCATAGATAGATACGCATGAACATAGATAATGATTTAACATAGATAGATATACAGATATATATATATATATATATATATAGATAGATAGATAGATAGATAAATAGATAGATAGATAATGATTTAACATATAGATAGATAGATAGATAGATATGAAAGAACTTATATATGAATTAACATAGCTATGAATGATATTGATAGATAAATAGATACATAGATATATATATATATAAATTAGCATCGATCGATAGATTGATATGAATGAACATAGTTATGAATTAGCATAGATAGATACGCATGAACATAGATAATGATTTAACATAGATAGATATACAGATAGATAGATAGATAGATAGATAGATAGATAGATAGATAATGATTTAACATATATAGATATGAAAGAACTTAGATATGAATTAACATAGCTATGAATGATATTGATAGATAAATAGATACATAGATATAAATTAGCATCGATCGATAGATAGATATGAATGAACATAGATATGAATTAGCATAGATAGATACGCATGAACATAGATAGATAGATAGATAGATAGATAGATAGATAGATAGATAGATAGATAGAGACAGAGAAAGTGATACATATGAAGAGAAGTAAAGAAAATGTCCTACATCAAACAGTAACGCTTGTCTTAATTTGTGGAACGTCGTGGGGTGGGGTTGGGATTGAATTTGCCCTTGTAAAAATGTTCAGGTCGTCCATAAAGAAAAAGGAAAAGAAGAAAGCTTATGAAAGAAAATCCACGGTATATTCCAGAAATTCTTGAAGTGCTTTACATTTTTTTTTTGCTTTTTTCTTCTTATGCCAGGAAGATTTTTTACGACTCGGACTGTTACTCGGCTGCTGCTTAAACTATCACACAGACTCATAATGAATTTATTTATATCAGGTGCGCGGATATATTAGTAGACACCAATTGCGCGCAAATATTTTATAGAAAAATGCTCGGCGCTGTTTGAAAGTGAGTTATTTGAAGTGCATGTAAATGACATAGTCACTCGTATCCGAGCGGGGCAGTTTATTAGCTAATCACCTTTACACACGCCGGCTCAGGCACATTTGTGTTTGTTCAACACCCATAGAGCCCACCTCTGGTTTATACTGAAACTATAGTAAGTAGACTTCAGTTACAGATTCTAGTGCGCGTTATCAACAGTCTGAACAAGGCCAGCCCTTCCAAATCCTCGATCAACAGTCTGATCAAGACCAGCACTCTCAAAAATTCGATCAGACGTCCGATCAATGCCGCACTCTGTAATCCTCGATCAACAGTCTGATCAAGTCCAGCACTCCCAAATCCTTGATCGACAGTCTGATAAAAGACAGCAATCTCGAATCCTTGATCAACACTCTGATCAAGGCCAGCTCTCCCAAATCCTCGATCGACAGTTTGAACAAAGCCAGCACTCCCAAATCCTTCATCGACAGTCTGAACAAGACCATCACTCCCAAAATCCTCGATTGACAGTTTGAACAAGGCCAACACTCCCAAATTCTCGATCGACAGTCTAAACAAGGCCAGCACTCGCAAATCCTCGATCGACAGTTTGAACAAGACCAGACCTCCCAAATCCTTGATCAGCAGTCTGACCAAGACCAGCCCTACCAAATTCCCGAAGTCTGAATAAGCCCAGCACTGTCAAATCCTCGATAAACAGTCTGAACAAGGACAGCACTCCCAAATCCTTCATCGACAGTTTGAACGAGGCCAGCACACCCAAATATTCGATCAACAGTCTGATCAAGGCCAACACTCCCAAATCCTCGATCAACAGTCTGCACAAGACCAGCACTCTCAAAAATTCGATCAGCAGTCTGATCAAGGCCGCACTCTCTAATCCTCGATCTACAGTCTGAACAGGGTCAGCACTCCCAAATCCTTGATCGACAGTTTGAACAAGTCCATCACTTCCAAATACTCGATCAGCAGTCTGAAGAAGGCCAACACTTCCAAATTGCCGATCAGAAGTCTGAACAAGGCCATCACACTCAAATCCTCGATCAACAGTCTGAACAAGTCCGGCACTCCCAAATCCTTGATCGACAGTTTCAACAAGGCCAACACTCACAAATACTCGTTCAACAGTCTGATCAAGACCAGCACACTCGAATACTTGATCAACACTCTGAACAAGGTCAGCACTCCCAAATCCTCGATCGTCATTCTGAACAAAGCCAACACTCTCAAATCCTCGATCAACAGTCTGAACAAGACCAGCACCCCGAAATCCTTGATCGACAGTTTGAACAAGGCTAGCACTCTCAAATCCTCGGTCAACAGTCTGATCAAGGCAAGCACTCGCAAATCCTTGATCGACAGCTTGAAGGCCTACGCTCCCAAATACTCGATCAGCAGTCTGAAGAAGGCCGCACTCTCTAATCCTCGATCAACAGTCTGATCAAGGCCAGCATGCTGAACGATGTCTGTTAACTTATTGTTAGCAAAACCATCGCGAGTACCGTCTATACAGTTTCAGTCACAAGGTGTGGTATGCATTTCCTGTTCCTTCCAAGTGGATCGCCTCCTCCAAACATCATGTCACCTTCCTGACAAATCGATTATGGTGCGATTTGAACCCGGGTGTCATGGTCAGATAGCGAACATTCTAACCTCTCGGCCACGTGTATGACGTTGCATGATTTCAAATAACTTAATATATTGATTAAAAATGTTGACGATCAGTAGTTTGATATATATATTTTTAAAGTGGATTTAATATTTATCTTTCTCCGTAAATTATACTTTAATTAAATTTTAACTCATTAGGTTTGGTTTGGTTTGGTTGTTTAACGGCATATCAACTCAAGGATCATTTAATATCGAAATATTATTTTATTGTGAGCTTTGGTAATTTTTTTTTTCAAAAAATGTATGGCTAGGAATGTTTTATATTTTATTTTTCTACTATGAAAATATATTGCTGATAATTTGTTCTTATATTTTTATCTGTTTAATCCCAGTTTGGCGAGGGGGTTCACTATTTGCTCATAACTGGGACCCTAACAGATCATATCACCCTTCTACTCAATAGATTATGATATCTTATTAATAATTTTCAATATAAAAGAGATTTTTATTCTGTCTGAAACTGATTAATTAATAATATATTTTAATAATGTGTCTGCTATAATTTTAATCCCACTAATTTTTCAATCCACAATGTTCGAAGAAGGATAATTTTTGAGAAGGCCCTTAGGTTTTACTCACTCAAAGCCTTTCTTCAACATGTATTGTAGGAAGCTGACAGTTTAGATATTTCTGAACGGTTTTGGTGTCATATGGAAGTTTCGATCTGACGAGTCTATTTAATAACTGACTTGAGTTTTCAGATCGATGTTTTGGTTTCGTAGCAATGTGTGGTATTCGTCGAAATTATATCTGGCATAGTTTATTCTATGTTTAATATCCTTCCCTCCTATACTAAATTTGTTATAACTGATCCATATACCGAGGTATTTCAAATATTTAATATTTCAGTCAGTTAAGTGCCATACGTAATACACGCTTGGGCGTTCATGTATCTTTCGATATATGATCGCCAAAGACTGACGAAGCAGATATTTTTTTCCCGCAGTAGGTTGCAATTTCTTTCTGCGGTAGACTTGTTGCCAACCAAGGCTAAAGATTCAGTCTGTCCTGCTATTTAACTCATAGATGTTGAGAGAAAAGATGGATTCATACCTTTCCCAATGGTATTTGCGCGTAAGTGAATCTTACGTACTCGACTGGAATTCGAACTCGGCTCTCCAAGTAATTACTCCGAGCTGATATCCATTGACAAGACAATGCACGATTAGTATTTACTAGTTCAAAATCATGAATTTTTACGATAGATTCATTCTAATTCCTGGTCATAGTTTGCTAGTTCATCTGCATAGCCAACCTCAAAATTAGCCTCGGGGGGAAAGCTGAATTTTGGTATATTCGTTTGAGATATGGTATGAAATGTTTATGGAACAATCGGGAGTGAACTCACTATTAATGATTTACTAAACTGGTCTCTAGAAATTAAAGCGCGTCGGGGAGGGCCACTAAAATTAATACGTGGTAAAGATTGAACTCACTAATCTTGCAGTAAAGTTGTTTTTTTATCAATTCACCCCAAACAAGGCGACTGGTAGTGAAAGAGATAGAGAAGATTTTGGAAGGAATCGGAAACTCATTGTTAAACAGGAACAAAGACCAATCCTCTAATGCGATTCAAAAGACCGGGGAGGAGTGTAAACCGGGCGATAAGTGAACCTATCTACTCCTGCTGAAAATCAGACAAGCCCGCTTGTTAATCCACGCCAATGTGACGTAGATTTTGAGGGTAGTATTTTATATTTTGGGGTAGTGATCATTATAGATAGCAGGGTGATGCATGAAAATCCGTCATATCACTCGGTAAATCATTCTTATTTCCGTCAATATGGCGTCCAGCAAAATATACAATCGGCCGTTTCTTTTTATTGCCTGTTAAAATAGGTAACGACCTGATTTTTTGCAATACTTTAATTACCAAATTTTATGAACAGTTTCAACGATTCAAATTTTGTGAGCAATTACGACACAAATTTTGTGAACAGTTTCAACAACTCAAATTTTATGAACAGTTTCAACGGCACTAAATTTGTGAGCAGTTTCAAGGACTCAAATTTTGTGAGCAGTTTCAAGGACTCAAATTTTGTGAACAGTTTCAACGGCACTAAATTTGTGAGCAGTTTCAAGGACTCAAATTTTGTGAACAATTTCAATGATTTTGATGCCCAATTTAAAATAATAACTGAAAAATTGGCAGAATCACAATAATTGCAGACGCTATTATGAGATCAGAACAAAAGTTACAGCTGAACTGTATTGATTTTGATGTAACTAAAAATAAATTTGTTCAAAGAAAAACGGCTTAAGCCTGTCTACGGACCAACTTAGTGTATACTTTGTGAATATTTCATATAAAAATAACTGGATTCTAAAAGCGCATTTTATTTTTTTTATTTTAGTCTGTCATAAGGCTGAAAAGGAGGTTATTATGAGTATAATGTAATACGCCAGAGAAAGGAAGACCATCTGCCATTCAAATCAATATTCATCAAGTTAACATGTGCTTCAACAATGACCACTAGAACCAGACCTTTCACTTGGCGCCAGTGAAGACATGTTCCTACCTAATTATCATACACTCATACCTCGTTTTAACGGATAAAAGGGGGGAAACATCGATCGTTAATGACGATTGTCCGCAGTTACCGACTAATATCAATCACATTACGAAAGAAATAGGAATGATATAGTCCTGTGCCTTTAATCAAGCGCAAATGGACACTGTAAATATACACTATTTTGTGCTACTGTAAAATTCACCCTTTACCTTTATGGAAAACGATAAATATAAAACCATTTAAACACACCGGCATATAAAAAAGGGGGAAAATCCCATGGAAAAATAAGCTACACGTATGGCTATACTAATCAGAACAAAGTGACGGCTCGCCAACTAGCAGCCAGCTATCGAAGCAGCGGATTGTATCCAGGTTTGACAAAACTTCGTCCGTAGCGGGCGGGACTTGCAAGCCGATTCAGCTGCTCCGGATTTTGTCCGTTGCTTCCGATATCTGTCAAAGGAAGATCTGTAATAACGAGGTATATATATATATATATATATATATATATATATATATATATATAATAATAATTTAAATGTTTTACAAGAAAGTTCTAACCATGTTTCAAAAAAATTAAATTCGGGGCTTTTTGCTTCCATTTTTGAAACATGATTAGAGCTGTGTAGCGAAAAAAACATCTTTTAAATCAATTAATTTATAATATTAAGGCTCTGTAAATTTACATTGAGCACTATTTTGTAAAAATAAAAATATCTATAAGAACACCGGATTATATATCTTACTGTTCTTTCTTTATATATATATATATATATATATATATATATATATTTAAGTGAACATTGCAGTCAACACTCAGGTGACTGTTTCATGCTAAACGCAATCATTAGGACTGATTACTTTTAACATGAAATAGTCGGTCGCCTCTGAGTGTTGACTGCAATGTTCACTTTTGTATTTACATACGCTCTATCACTGATATTGAGCACTTTATCCCATAAATATAGCACACCTTAAATATGCAAACCGATTCAGCTGCTCCGGATTTTGTCCGTTGCTTCCGATATCCGTTAAAGGGAGGTCTGTAATACCGAGGTATGGTTGTATTTTATAGCAGAGATTCAGTATAAGAGGCAAAATGCTAGATGCTGACAAAACCGGATGTGGTTTTTGTATTCGGTCCAAATATTTACGAAATTAGAAGGATACACTGTCAAATGTGGAGGGAAAGGAATTGGGAAGTTTTTATTGAGCCAACCTTTCTGTTGAGGGCTCCTCCCCTTTTTACACAAATGGACTCACCCAGCATATACATATACTACTGCTACGTGAAAACCCGATAGCTGAAGAGGAGGGTGAAATGTTGTAGGTAACCGGAAGTGTGAGGGTGAGGTAACAGCGTTGTAGATAACCGACAGAAGGTGAAAGTAACAGACAGACAGAACGAATGTAGCCAGCAAGAGTCACAGTGAGCGAGCACGTAGACTCATTAAGAAGTCATACAGCGATACTTCAATACCAAAGACTGTATAGATATTTTGCTACTAACCCGTATTCCTGGAACTACTAACCTGCATTACCAGTTTGTATTATTACGTTAATACATTAATTTCGTATATTCATTCTTAGCGTTTGTTATTTATTGGTACCGGATTTCATCCCGGAATCCAGAACACTTTCTAACAGTCCTATCTTTAAATCCCTAACTTTTATCTACGCCCAAATCCGAATCAGTTGCAGACAAGAACCTACTCAACTATCTTAACCCCAGAACCTTCGATTAGTATAAAGAATGTGCTCTAATATTTGAGACAAGAGATGTAAATATATTAAAATGCTTTAATTAAATCTTTCCAATCATAGTGCATTGGCGACAGTTTCTTATAAATAAATTTTTAGGGTACACTTTAAAAGAGTATTAAACTGTTACGTGATATCTGTCTTCAAGAGCATATGTCCCCTTCTACAGCGCAAAGAAGATATTTAGCTGTTTCAATTTTAATATATACTAAAGTATATATATACTATAATATTATTTTAATATATACTAAAGTATATATACTATATATTACTATATAAAATATATTGTAGAACAGGTATATTGGCCTTGACTTGTATAAAAATACGTATGCTGTTGTTGCACTGAATATTTTTTTAAAGCCCTAAGTCGGCACATAGCAAAAGATTGCCTGTCCCTGTTCTAGGGCATATAATGAAGAAAGACGGTTTGGAAAATTTGATACTCATAGGACAGATTTTAAGGCAAGAGGAACAGAAGAAAATAACGATTAACATACTTAGTGGGCTTAATGAGATGGCGGGACAGAGTTTAAGAGGAATGACACAAACGCAAAATTTATTAAGCGTTACAAAGAAAAGGAAGCTGTGGAGTGTCATGTTCATCTACGTCCTGAGGGGACACGGAATATAAAAAGTTTTTGATTTTGTTCAACAAACCAAAATATAGCCATTCTTCGCTTAACGACAGGATTCTGTTCCAACTACCTGCTTGATAAACAAACTGACCGCTAAGCGATAAGTATTTAAGAGATATTTCAGGTTTATTTAGCGTGTAATAGGTTTGTGTCAGTAAGCTTTAGATAGATTTAACCACTTCCACGCTAATTAACCTGGAAAACGTGTTTCATTTTCAGACAATTTTTAAATAAAATTGTTTTTAATATAGTAAGAAACTGAGGTACCTTCAAGTACCCGAATTGTGGCTAACACTTCTACCAGACGTATGAGTTGACACTTGGGCTCATTTCATGCTCGGAAGAGCATAAAAAGAATCAAGATCGACGTATAAACACGTCTGTAGCTGGTTTTTGAATGTTACGTTTTGGACGTTTTCGTCCGAATGAATAAGTACCCTTTTTGCTCACATGATCAGTTCATGCTATTCTCAGCATCCTTCTGTAGAACCTCATTCAATCAAATGCAACAATATAAATATCTGGGAATTGCTTTAACAGAAGATGGAAATTGCGACGCCAAAATCCGAAGGCGCATTGGGATGGCGAAAGATGCCTTCCAAAAGCTAAGCAAAGTATTAAGAAACAGGAAAATGTCGTCAGCAACATTGAAAAGAGTTTTGAAACGCTATGCAACATCAACCCCGTAAATGTTAGATAATCTCCTGGGTGATAAAGTGGAAAGAAAATAGAAAAATGAAAACTGAGATGTAGTAGAGTGGGGGGGGGGCGTATATATGGGGGTGGACACCAGACACTTGCACCGACCCTTACACATTTCGAACCCCGACTAATAACACACCACACAGAATTCTTAGTAAGCTTCCCCTTCGGCATTGTGACAAAATTGTAATTCCGTCAGTCAGTTATATGCCATGAGTAATACACGCATAGGCGATCATGTACCTTTCGATACATGACTAACGAGGCAATTTTTTTCCCGAACTAGGTTGCTATTTCTTTCTGCAGTAGACCAGTTGCCATCCAAGTCTACAGAACCCGGTCTGCCTGCTATTTACCCATAACTGCGGAGGAGGATTCCTACCTTTCCCAAGCTTATTAGCACGTAAGTGAATGTAATGGATTCGACTCGAATTCGAACTCGGCTCTCCGATTCCTCAATCCGAGCCGCTATCCATTACTTTTTCCCGCAGTAGGTTACCATTTCTTTCTGCGGAAGGCCGGTTACGATCCAAGGCTATAGAACCCGGTCTGTCTTGATATTTATCCATAGCTGAAGGAAGAGGAGGGTATTAGCACGTAAGTGAATGATATGGTTTCGACTGGAATTCGAACTCGGATCTCCGATTCCTCAATCCTAGCCGCTAATTGTAATTATCTTGTAATAAATACTCATTGTATTTATTTTTTAGCTGAATTGTTCACGTATATTGCAAATGATCAATTATTGTGTATAATTAGGTTACGAAAACTTGTATTTTATATGAATACTACCTAAAATTCAGATACAATAATGTTAATGGCCCCGTATCATAGATTCGTGGTTGTTCTTCCCTTGTTCTTGTAACGGTATTCACCCGGGTGGGTTGGAGCCGGCTCCAATATTGGAGTTTCATGAATTTGAATTCACAAGCGGTCCCTAACCCGCATGTATAGCACATGAGATTTGATTATAGGGGTGAAGGTTTCGTGCAGGACCATCCACACCTTTTAAAGGTGCGATTACAGAGACCTGATGTACTAAGTGCCACAAGGTCCCCAAACGACCCTCCGCAGGTTTTGAATTCAGAGTTGTCCTTCTCCTAGACCAGTTGCCATCCAAGGCTATAGAACCTAGTCTGTCCTGCTATTTACCCATAGCTGGAGGGAGAAGAAGAAGATTCACGCCTTTCTCAAGGGTATTAGCACGTAAGTGAATGTAATGGATTCGACTGGAATTCGAACCCGGCTCTCCGATTCCTCAATCCAAGCCGCTATCTGTGGTTGGGCCCGGCATGGATCATAGATCCTTGCAACGGCCTTGGTAACGGTATTATTAATATTAATATTAATGATGATGATAATATACTTTAAGTAAATATTATTATTATAGAATCTACGAGTAAGCAGGGAACACCTGAGGTTTAATTATAGCATATAATAGAGAGCGGTGAAAACATATTCTAACTAACGTAAGGCCTCGCTTTTGAATTTAAAACTCAGTATAGCCATTTTTTACAAGGAAACGTGCGTCTTATCTAACGTCAAAAAAGGTAAGAAAATATCGATTGGACTGCAGTTGATATTATATGAAATATATCTGATATAAGACCGCTGTACTAGAGTGGATCGAACTCGTTGAACTAATGAATTGGTCTGCAGCATAATCTTGCTGACCATGCTGCTAGGTTAAGCTGCTGGTCATGGCAATAAAGGAGTGGCTTGCCCGCTTGTGTAGCGGCACCGCTGACAGCATACGCGGCAGAAGAACAGGCGTTTGCGACGGCAGGTTTCAGTAAAGCTTCCCCCGCTGTTCGCACTGTCCGGGAAATCTCATTTACATCACAATAGAAACAATCGTAAGGTGATTTCGTATTCCGTTCTCGACTGACGGCAGAAGATAACTATTTCCACCCAAGCCCGCACTGTATCCCAAAACCCGACCAACCGTCGAGCAAACGTACAGTCAGAAACGGGCAGCCGTATAAGCAGAGGCGGGGCTTCGTACTCCTCCTCCGCATAGTCTTCAGACTGACCACATCTGCCCAACAGGTGCACGTAAACACTTTTGCAGGCATATGCAACCTTATATATACATACAGCTAGATAATGGCTTTAATATAAAGATTGCATTGTCAGTGTGAATGAAGTGCAAGGAAGCAAAATCAGCAATCTGGTTTCGAATCACAGCACCACCTGTGTTGGTTCACTTAGCTTCTTCTTCATCCAGATATATGAATCCGCCTCCTTGTACACTACGTCAACTTTTTTTTCAGAACTTAAGTGATCATGGCTCTCCACAAATTCCTATAGTAATCTTAGTAATATTTGTCTTTTTGCAATAATAATAATAATAATAATAGGCATACAAGAGTTATTATACCAAGCAACGTGATTAAAAACAAATATAGAAAACCTATTAAATCAAGCAGAGACTTTAAAGGCTACAAGCAACAATTATTCGTTTACTGCCATATCTAACCATCAAAGTTAAGCAACCTTGATCCCGGTCAGTACTGAGATGGTGACCGCTCGGGAATACAGAAGACAGAATAAGAAACACAACTGAAACATATACCGTATATATATATAATCTTGCTGGCCATGCTGCTAGGTTAAGCTCCTACTGTAAGTTTTTAAGTATTTCTTGATACTGTTCAATTTTACGGCTTCTGATCTCATTTGATTGAGAATGTTAACAGTTTTTTTTATGGTATCACCAAATATTTGCCTTTTTGCAATAATAATAATAATAATAATAATAATAATAATAATAATAATTGTAATAATATTAATAATACTAGTAGACATACATGGGTTATTAGCCCAAGCAACGTGATTAAAGACAAATATAGAAAAACTAATAGATCAAGCAGGGACATTAAAGGCAAAAAACAAAAGATGCCATCTTATAGATATCGATGAGCCATCAGATTAAATGCAATTTTTCGAGATTCTCAGGGGAATATTATCAATGTAAAATAAATATAAAAAGTGTATATGTTAACTAACATTAAACATCAAAAATTATGCAAACAGAACGCATCTATTACAATGTCTTAAAGATAAATAGTGATAATAAAACTTAAACATTTCTTTCCATATCACAGCCAGTCTTTCTCTAACTATCAAAGTTAAGCAACGTTGATCGCGGTCAGTACTCAAATGGTAACCCCTCGGAAATGCCACTTAATATCGGTTTTTAATTATTCCTTGATGCTGATCAATTTCACAGCTTCTGATCTTACATCTAACACGGGCCACACTTTCTCTACATCGACATATTGTGGCACCTTGCATTTATTGGAAATATTCATAGAAATATGAGTTAATTTTTTCTTATTCAGTTTATTAAACAGGTTGTTAATTTTTTTTTCTTTAAAACGGAAAATAACTGGGTTGAAAATAATTCACTAAGAATGTACTAAACGATCCTAAAGCAAGGAAAAAAAGAAAGAAAGGAAAAGGAAGAAAGGAAAGATAATAAATAAAAGGGGGAAAGAAAGGAAAAGACATGATATCAAAACAGGCCGCTGGGTGTGGACCAGATGTCGGTCAGAGCCTCTGACTGACCTTAATTTTGTTGAAAGAATAGAATTGAGATATCGGTCGCGAGCGCTGACCGACATTTTCGTAGAAGAATTCTTATCAAAATAACGAAAGGTAACTTTTAAATTAGAATAATAGAAATGAATTTTACTTTAGTCAGAGAGAAAGTGTCTTTGGGTTGGGGAAGTGACTGGTGAAAACGATATACGGAATTGACCTGTTAAGAATTGGACACCCACGTTAAGAAAGTGGAGATATTTCGACCTAGATAATTAAGATTCTCGGCTATCAGGAAAAACAAAGAGGTAAAAAGAAGAGCAATTGTTTTTGGACCACGGAGGGCGCCAGGAAGGCGGAAAAGATCCTTTCTAAAAGTCAAGACTAATTAGCAGCGGGCTGTTTGACAAAGTCCAGGTGAGAGAGGGCAAGGATTGTCATTTTGCGTACGTGCAAAAAGGTGCGAAATCGGATTTTGTTTTTTTAAACCAGCACGATGTAACCACACCCGCCAACAAAAGGGAGAGGGTGTTCGGTCAATAACAATTGGTCGAATACAATCACGTGACCGCGGAAGAAGAAGGAAAGAAAACCTCGATCAATAACTGTTGGACGAGGCGGTCACGTGGGCTGCGGAAGAAGAAGAGAAAGAAAGGTTCGATCGGGAACGATTGGTTGAGAGCGATCACCTGACATGAGAGAGACTAAGAGAAATAGATATGCGCCGCCCCCCAAGAGCACTGTGAGAAAGTAGGGGAAAACAATAACGATAATGGAAAGTCAAAATTAATACGGCTTTTGAAATTATCGAGAAACCCCTGACGCCGACCGACCCACCTCGGTTTGTTGCGGCGTCAATATAAGCAGGACCCCAGTCGGCAGAGCAAGAAATCAGTTGGAGCTGAAGTTGGACCGAGTGGAGTTGAACGTTCAGAGTTCATCCCCGGACGGCAGCGAGAAAAGAACCCTCAGACAAGAAGAACTTCCAGCCCAAGTAGACGAAGAAGAAGATTGCCTGAAAGCCTGAGAAGAATTGGAGCTGCAGACAAGCCGAAAGTCGATGAGGAGTTAAAGTTCATCCCCGGACGGCAGCGAGAAAAAGAACCTCAGACAAGAAGAACTTCCAGCCCAAGTAGAAGAAGAAGAAGAAATACAACTCAAGTCGGAGAGAAGAATCAACTGCGAATGATCGATAGAAATTAGCCCCAGTGTCGAACTGAACCACACCCGACATACATACATGATTCTAGAAAGTAGGTAATTCGACATTTTCCTATTGTGTGATAGAAGCTTGGTGCCATAGTCCACAGAGCGGGTCGGGAATTGAGAACAATTTTGTTTTTATGTAACGGACTTTAAGATATAAAAGGTTGTTACCCTTTTTATCAGCAATTTTGTTTGGTGTCGTGAGTTTTTATTTTATTTGTGTTTTGCCACCCCCGTCGGACTCAACTTGTATCGGCCCCGATCCCTGCTGGTCCCGTCTGTCTAAGATCTAAACACAGCGTGGGTAGACAGACCGGAGATCGGTATAGTTGCTTTAGTGACCAGGTATTGGAAGCGAGTCGGGAAATATCCCTTTGGTGATCATCTGACCAAAGGGTTGGAGCGGCACGCTTGGACCCAGGAGGAGCGACCAGGAGGAGCGACGTCACCGTTGGCGCCGTAACCAAAGGATCCGACACTGGGCCAGGTGTGTAACCGTCACAATATTATACCATTTTTGAGTCAGGATGAACTTGGGAATGAAAATCTGCTTTTCATTTGAGGCTTGAACATCCAACATTGGGATTTGAGTCTGGATGAAGAAGGAATTGTTACAAATTCTAATTTTAAAATAACCGACAAAAAATAGGGATTTAAAAGTTTTTTTTTTATTGAGTTTAAAGTAACACAAAAACTTTGAAATTAAATTTTTTTTAATTTAAATTTATTTTGAAATATCTCCAAACGTTTGAATTGATGAAATCAATTTTATTTCTTTAAAATGCCAAGGAATCGGAGTTAAAATGAGAGGTTTCATGACTTGAGGTTTTGAAGTTCTGCAGAGTTTGTGATTTGAAGAACTCAAAGCAACTGAAGTTCCACGGAGTTTGTGATTTGAAGAACTCAATTTGCGACCCGAATCGGAATTTCCGCACAAATCGCTCTTTTGGTTGGAATTGTATTATAGCCAGAATCAAAGTTAAAGGTGAAGTTTTGAAGTTCCGTGGAGTGAATTGACGAATTCAAATTTATTTCTTCAAAATTATCTCTGTCTATAAAAGGAAGGGTGTATGTGTGTGTGTGTGTGTGTGTGTGTGTGTGTGTGTGTGTGTGTAACGAATGCACGACCGCAATTTTCGACGGATTTGCATTAAAATTTATATGCACATGCTCCAAGTTAGCGAGA